TGGGAAAGGGGGCCAGGAAAAGGGATGTGAGAGGCTCCTCAGGCTTACGGGAATGTTGTCATGGGTAAGGCAGGGGCTCATCCAGAGCACTTACCATCTGCGTCCCGTGCAGTGCTGGGTACCAGCAGGTGCTGCCTGAAAATAGAGTTCAGAGCTGCCCAAGAGGAAGAAGTGTATATACCACACCCAGCTTCTCCTGGAGATGCAGGGCGCTATGTGCTCATGTAGAAGAAGCAGGTACATGGGTGGTCAAATTATGGTGAATGTTCTTTTACATTTCTATGAATCCCCCTCGGAATTCTTCCCCTCACCTCAAATACATTCCGTCACTCTGGCCACCGTCTGAAGCAGCTCTGGAAGTCTTCTTTTTACACAGTATGATTAAAAATACTGTGACTGCCACCGCAGAGTGCCACCCAGTAGGAAGGCAGGCTGGTGAAAATATGGCAGTGCGTCCTCATCTGTCTGACTCATGGGATCTTGCACAGTCTGACTTCTGGCTCTTCCCCAACGTCGAGATCACCATGAAAGCTAAGTGTAAATAAAGACATTCAAGAAAGAGGACTTCTAGAACTGCTTCAGGAATTGGCAAGAACAATGTTTGATGGATAAGTGTTTGGAGCAAGGCGAGGATTTTGAGGGGATTCACAGCAGTTTTTCTTTTACTGTAATAATTTTTAAAATTTAAACATTGTATTTTATTGAAACCGAATCCTGTACATTACACGGAACAAAGCCCAGAAGTGCAAAGGGCTTGCCTATGTCTGAGTCGTCTCGGAATCTGCAGGCCTATCTGTGGGACTCACTAGGAAGACATGGAGGAGAGGGATGGGGTGAGCTCCCTAGGAGGAAGAGCTGGTGTGAGGCTAGGATCTGTGTGGGCTGCAGCCTTGAGGGACCGAGAGCTGTGGCCTGAGGGACTGTTCCCGAAAAGCTTTATTAACTGGGTTTCAGGATTACCAGTCCAGGGGGCGAGGGAGAAGAAAGTGTCAGGTCCTGTCACAGCACATCGAAGATGAGCTTCAAGGAAGCGAGCTGTCCACCTCTGGGTCAGCCCCAGGGTTTCCTCGGGGAGGCGGGAGGCAAGGTGGCACTTGGGGTCAGTGCCTGTGCAGAGCCGCTCCTTGCTTGAGGCTGGAACAAGGGATGGTTAGGCAGGAAGGGTCTGATTGGTCTGATACCAAGGGTGATGCAAGCCTAGGAGAAAGTAAGTCTCCCACCTCCCAGGGTCCCTGTCAGAGCCTTCAGGACATACCATGCGGGGTGGGTGGGCGTACATACAATGGACATGAGATCTAGGTAATATGCACACATTGCCTTCACAGTAAGGCCGTGGAGATCTTTCCTGTCTAGTGCATTTGAATGGCTCTTCTGCACACATCCTGATGATGGGCCCTAATTTATCCAAGTGTCCTACGAGGGCTCTACTCTCTTGTTTTTGTGATTATTATGGCAGGGTCAACATCTACAGCTGGGGTAGTCAGGTGGGAGGGAATTCACACTTGTAGTTTTCATAAAAGTTTCCATATGGCCTTTCTGCTCCCACCAGCCACACCTGTTCTCTTCAGTCTTCACCAACTTGGGCATCCACACCCTTTAAGGGCATTTACATTTTATTTTCTGTGAACTGTCTGTATCTTTTGCCCATTCTTAATTTTAAATATTTAATTTATTTCACGGATACAAAAAGACATGCACAGTTTGCCACCTCAGAGTCACTGTTCAGAGTTCATGGCCTCAGTCATTCGCAGATTTTTCCTTAGAGCTTGTTTGCAGAAACCCCTGTTTGCAATTTCATGGAAACCAACTTTTTTGTGGCAGGAGGTTTGCAAGTAGCCAATCGGAGAGCATTATTCAGTTCTCCTTGCTGGTGATTGGCTGCTGCCCTTAACCCATCTCTGTCAGATGCACCCACATTCCCACATTATAGCAGGTTGCTGTGCCCAAGTAGCTATCTCATTCTCAGTTTTACGTTTCTTAAAGCTCAAAGACACCTAAGATGTCACCAAAACACCCTGAAGCCTCTTCTGAGGCTTTATCAATAGCATTTTATTAAATTAAATTACATAACTGCAGGAGACATAGCATATTTAGTTTTTAAACTACAAAAAGGCATTTATAGGTGTTTTCTGACGTTATCTGAGATTCAATTTTTCACAATTCGTGGTTGCTCTAGGAACGAAACCCTTGCAGGTTTTGGTAATCCACTATACTGTATGAGTGCGTGTCATTCGGATATGGTTACTTAAATGCACACATACATACATGTGCTTTATTTGTTTTATGTGCTGTCATCTTGAGATGTCCATAGGCCCCCTCTCCTCAAGTACCCCAGTCCAGGGTGTTCAAGTCCCTTACATAACATGGCATAGTGTTTAGGTTTCACCTTTGCAGTCCTCTCCAGATTACTTATAATACCTAATGCAATGCAAATGCTATGCAAATACTCATAGTGTATATATACATACATATATATATATACATATATATTAGGCAATAGTGATATGAAAATTAAGTCTGCACATGTTCAGTCCAGGAAAAATTTTTAAATTTTCAACCCATCAGTTGGTTGAATCCATGAATGTGAAATCCACAAATAGGTAGGGCTGAATATGTGTGTGTGTGCTATACACTTGGCATAAAATTATATATATATATATATATATACACACAATATATATATATACTATTTATAATATACATGCATCATATGTCTATACATAGATATGTTATATATAGTATATGTGTGTATAGTATGTGTATATATATGTATGTATGTAGAGTGTATAGTATGTGTATATATATGTATGTATGTAGAGAGAGAGAAAAGAAAAAATTTATGAATCTCCTTAAATAATACATTTTATATATTTTGGGGGCTTTTATATATAAGAAATAGAAACTTAAAGTGGTCTATTTTCAGGATAAAGCCTTGAACTCTGAATGGAAAACTACCCTTAGCCTGTGGACAGGACTGAGGTCAGGCATCTGAAAAGGTCCTGAACAAAGTGGGGAGGGGTAGATAGTCAATAAAGTACGCCCTTCACTATGCTCTGATGGGAAAAGTCCTGACGCTTAAAGACTGACTTACCCCCACTTCAGCTTAATTATGTGCCTTTAAATCCACAAAATGTTTATAAATAGGCATCAACTGCGAAAACTGCACCCCCATGGTTCTCAGCCAGTGAAGGGGCGGAGAGGAACCCCCTTGCATGTGAGGTGAGCAGGGACCTGCGTACTGGGGTGGAATTGCCCCAGGTGCACTTGCTAGTGAATCAGACACCCAGGCTTGCAAGACAGAATTAAAGCCTTGCTTCAGCTATGTTTTGTGCCTTTGAGTCTACTCCTTGGGTCTGGACAAGTGAACACATTTCTTATATATATAAATAGCACTGAACTACAGATACTTCTGTGACTGACATTCTTTTATGGGCTTTTTCAAAGTCTTCAACAGAGTTTTTTGAAATCTTGTTAAAAGCTGCCATTTACTAATTTTCACTGCTCTGAATTTTTTCACTGTATGACTAAATCACAGTGTATCCCTTCTCCTGTGAATGGCCTTGGGAGGCACCCCTGAGTGGCGTCACAGTACCCTGTTGCAGGGCTGTGCTGACACACATCTCTGAGTGTGCACAGTTGCTGGGCTGTAGGATGTGTGTGCATCTTCAGGGAATGAGATAGTGTACTTTGCCCACTTAAAGAATAGATCACTGGTCCTATTGATTATTGGGGCTCTTCAGGGATGGGAGCAGTTGGTCCATGGTATGGGCTTATCAGTGTTTAGACGCTCAAAAACTCCTTCAGGAAGGACATCTTGACCCCGTATAGTGGTATACGCCTATAATCCCAGAATGCTGAAGCAGGAAGATTGCAAGTTCAAGCCCAGCCCTGGGTTCAGTCCCCCATGCCACAAAAAGAGACCCCTGTTTACCTGATTACTTGGGCATTTCTCTGCCTAAGTGGACCTCTAGCCCTCCTTCTGCACCGAGTGTCCCACAGGACTAACTCGGGATACGCAGGTGTGAAGAATACACATCAGGATGGGGTCCACCAAATTGCGTCTGAGCAACGTGCAGCTTCTAGCAGAGTGACAGGGGCCCCCTGCCTGCTTCGGTGATCTTGACACTCTCAAGCCCAGACCCTCGCAAGGTGCCTTACCGACCTGCCCACATCATCTAGCACACCTCGGGCCTTGGGCTAGGCATCCCTTCTCTCCATCCTCATGACCAAAAGGGAAGAGGACTCCGAGCACAGAGAAGTCTTCACCACAGTGAGATCCAGAGCCCACCTTCACTGTGTCCCACGTAATCCCACAGGATCTGTTTAGAGCCAGAATGATGCCCAGGACTTGGCTCCCCGGGCATCCAGGACCTGCTCTGCCTTTCCCACAGCGTGACACCACTTCTGACTCCACTACTGAAGGCAAGTCTGCGCCTCTCCCCTGCAGGCCTCGGCCTGGGGCTCAGTACACGATCCATGTCCCCTGGGATGTCCAGGCCAACGATGACAGTAACTGACCCTATACTGGGCGTTCACCCGGGGTGTCTCTGTGCCGAGAGCTTTATGAGGACAGTCCCGTGTATCTGTGCACAGGGAACACTCCTTTTATCATCACTTTTCTTTTGCAGACAAACAACTGGGGTTGATGGAAGTTTGACCATTTGCCTGAGCTCACACAGCCACTCCGCAGCAGAGGCAGGACTGGAACTCTAGGGTTCAGGTTTGCACTGCACCGTGCTACACACCTGACCAGACAGCCGAGCCGGGCAGCCCGTCTAGCAGGTGTCACATGCACAGTAGGTAGAACCCCGGAATTGCCACACAGCCCCAGAGGCTCTCAATCAGCCCTGTAGGGGTATGGGGAATAGGCAGCCATGAGTTGGGGAGGACCCTGGTCTTGTCCTCTGCCCCTTCCTGCTCCCCTCCTAGCAGCTGGGGTCACAGGTCACACGAAGGCCACTCGAGGCTCCAATGCTGAAACCTCCCAGTTTGCAATTGGCAGTTGCTCTGGGCGAGCTGTGAGCAAACAGCTGTGACTCCAGTCCCCAAATCTCCCCCTTACCTGTGTCAACACTTTTATTTTTAAAGCAGCACATCCAATGTGGGGGCAGGGAATGGGCGGTGGGGAGGGAGGGAGCCAGGCCCTTATCAGCTCAGGGGTCCTTGCATATGTAATGCTGTCATATAATTAACAGTGAAGATCATTTACATTGTCGCTGAGCTAATTTTCATAATGTTTTCTTTATTATCAGAGGAAGAAATTAACCCAAGAATTTATTTACATAGCAGCCTCAAACAGTAACAGCTTGCTAATTGCCTGTTAGGTGATTAATAAGCTTACAGCAGATGCTAATGCATCGTGGGCTCCCGTTTCAAAGGTGCTCTTGCCGCACGCTTGTGTTTTTGGCAGCTTAATTAGTGCAATAATTATGTACTTGTTGCTCCTTCTTTCGAGCAAATACTGTCAAATGCTTAAAAGATTAAAGTGAATTATATCCTGAGAACTCACGGTGCTTGAGGATGCCCGTTCTTGCTAACTTCTCCGCTAGTGCAAAAATAGACGAAAACAAAAAAGTGGGGGGGAGGTGACTTGTCAAAGGGAACAGTGATGACCTAGACCCCTCTGGGTCTCAGTCCTGGCTTTGTCCCTCACTAATGGACAGACCTGGGGCCCTGCCTTGGTTTCCTTTCTGTCAAGGGAGGGACGCCTCATTGGCACGTAGGGAGAGGGAAATGAGAATCAGAGACGATTGAGTGATTTACAAGCTACGTGCAACGTGGGTTAGTCGGGTCCTGACTCGAAGGAACCATTTGTAAAAGACCATGTTCATGACCATCTAAGAGATCTGACCCTGGGTTCTGCAGCAGTTGATCTCCAGAGGTCACTGCTGATTTTGGTAGGTGTGATAACGGCATGGTGGTGATGGGAAAGAAACATGGGCTTCGCTGTGAGGTATCCACACCGAAGCGTTTATAGAGTTGAAATGATGGGAAGTCCATGATCTGCTTTTAAAATTTCCAGGCTCCTCTTAAAAGTAGATGACTTGCAGATTAAATAAGATGGCAGAATGTGGAGCCATGTTGAGGCTGAGGGACGGGTACATGGGAGACCAGTGTATTATTTCTCCACATTTGTATACATTTGAAAGTGTGCATTAAAAAACTGAACCACGCAAAGAAAGCACAGAAATTCTAAGACCTGAGCCTGAGAATCCAACTGTCTCTGGTTAAGTCCAGCTCTGCACTGTGCTAGCTGTGTGGCTGTGGGAGAGGACACAACCTCCCTGTGCCTCTGTTTCACCTTGGTGCTTTCTGACTGCTTCCAGGGCCGTCTGTGCTTGTGCCTTGCCCACGGATCTGGGGATATGAGGTGCTGACTTGACTTTTTGTTACCTGAGTGTCGCTGTTGAGCACGGAACTGGCCTGTAATATTGGCGATGGCAGGAGACATCTTTCTCCTTTCCCAGCCATGTGGTCCCCACCCAGAGGGACCCCAAGGACTCAAACAGAGCTAGGTCCAGCTGGAGGATGAAGGGTTTCTGGGACAGGAGTTTCTGGGCTGGAACTTAGAAAATGCTGCCCAAGCTGGGAAGAGCCCATCACTCCAAGATGGAGGGCTCCATTCTGATGGCCACTCAGGCGGTGGGAGCCACAGCCACAGGATGCCTGGTTCTTCCTCCCCAGAGTCTGCCTTTGAGAAGCTACAGCACTGACAGTGTCACTCCAAAGCAGAGGCCAGGATGACCATCTGCTGGCCCTGGTTGGCCAACTCTTCACAGGGGCCCAGGGCGTGGCCACCTGGAGGCCAGGAGCTTAGGTCGCCTCTAAGTCTTTGGCTGCCCAGAGTCCTGCAGCTCCCCACACGGGTCAGGTCCTGTTATCTACTGCACCAAAGCCAGAGTCACCGGAAGCTCTGATCTGGGACTCTTTCCAGAGTTACCCATTTGTATCCATTTGATATAACTGCTGGTCTGTGGTTCCAGAGGCCAGGGACGAGGTCTGCCTTTGGCAACCACTGGTGGCCAGAACTTAGTCCAGTGCTAGGGCAGAGGAATCACAATAGCTAGCTCTTTTAGCCAGTAGAGCAAAGGAAGGAAGACTGCAAGGTTGCACACGTCCTCCAGAGCTGCCACCAAGCCCATCTTGAGTGACGATGCCTTTCTTCAAAGCAGTAGCTCAGGGCCTCCTGTGAGGACCCATTCTTTATCTATTTCATGTAATGAACACAGTGGTTCTTAAATTTTAGACTGTCAGCATCACCTGCAGGGTCAGTTAAGATGCAGAATCCTGGGCCCTGCTGGTGTGGGTTCCAGAAAGAGATTCTCTAACAAGTTCTTCAGGATGTTCATGCCGGTGTTCAGGGCCTATTTTTCAGAACCACTGTCCTCTGGGAGCTAAAAATCTTGCTGGGAAAAAGAATTTCCAGAGTTAACATTTAAATGCATGACAGAGGCCGGAAGCACTTTAATTAGACTTTTGGCTTCACGGCATCCATGACCCTTTCTCTTGATGACAACTCCCTGATTTCCTTTGGAGAATCTACCTCTGTATCCCTCTTGTGCATTTGTGCTGAAGCTCCCTCCTGGCTCTAGGGTAAGAGCATACTGGTGCCCCAAGAACATCCAAACAGGAACCTGAGTCCACCCAGTCCAATCAGGTTAATTCTTAGCACCTTTGCAAGAAGCATTAGGAAACAGCAAGACTTTTTCTGCTCTACCAGCACTACGTGTCATCTTGCCACATTGTAGAAAGAACCTCTGAACATGGAGCTAAGAGAAAAGCAAAGGAGAAGGCACTACTCAATGCCCCCTGGATCCAGCCATACCTGAGGCCAGCTCCCTCTGAGCTTATAAATTACATGAAGCTAATAAATCCCTGTACGTGTGTAAGTCATATATTTCAGGGTGGGATTTTTCTGACACATAATAGAAAACTTCCTCTTTGATAGAAAGTGCTGCTGGAATTTTGAGGCAGATCATCCTTCTGGGGTAGGTTGGCTTTGTGCCTGGTCAGAGATGTGAGAGGGTATTAGCACAGAGGCCATGGCAGAGACCAGCTGGTGCCCAGAAGAAGTCTCCAGAAGAGTGGAGCCCATCTTGCCATCCCAAGGGGAAAGCACTTTGTCTCCCACAGTCACCTTTCCCAGAAGAGGTCATTCCCAATGCTGGAGGTTCCCAGAGCCCTCAGGCCCCTTGAATGCAGACTTCCTGCCCAGACCGGGCAGCTGGGATGAGGTCATCGCTGGGGAGTCTTTTATCCTCTTGCTAAGCTGCCTCTTTCAGTAGCAATTGCTGTCTTGCTTAATCTTAGAATTATCTGATTGTCACAGTTGAGTTTTCCACATTAGGCAAAGAGCCAACAAGTTACTTAACCTATAATTGCCCTTTAATGAAGCCCATCTTCGAAACTGAATTGTCAAAGGAAAACTTGTAAACACACAGTGAGGTCCAAGACCAAGCCAGCCCCAGACGTCGCAGCCAGGCCCTTGACTCCTCTCTGGCGTCAGCCACATTTGTCTGAGTTACTGGGAGCTCTATCACAGCTGCCACGTGGAGCAGGGAGGAGTCTGGTGCTTGTGACCATCACCAGACACAGGCAAGGCTGAGACGCAATCTTAAGGGGACTTGGTTTGGGTTCACACACAGTCCCCTGTGCCTGGTACCCCTTCCTCCTCCACGGGCCACGGGGTTCGAAAGTAACACCTACCTCGTGCCTTGAACTTCGAAAAGCTGCTCAGCAATGTCTGTCTTTGGTGAAACCATGTCATGGAGGACATTTGGGCAGGCTCTGCACACAGTAGGAGAGTTAGGTTGACCTTGGAGAGCAGGTGTCACCGTAGCAGCCATGGGGGATGCATGTGTCCATGGTCAGCTGTCTGCCTCCAGGACCCCTCGGTCGCATTTGGGAGTCCAAGGTGAATAGTAAAACACCCTCGCTTTTCTGTAGCACTCTCAGGTTCATCCAGGTCACCCCAAACCAGGAAAGAAATATTTGCAGAGTACTAACTAGGTGCCAGGTAGCTTGCTGGGCGCCTTCCATATTTTACCTCAATTAATGATCAGATCGACTCTCACAGCTCAGGCCTGTTATCCTTATTTTGAAGATGGAAAAATTAGAGGCCCAGAGAAGTTAGGTAATGTGCCCAGTGCCATGTAGCCTGCGGCTGTGGAAAGTGGGATTTGTGTAATATCTGATATCCCTGCATCCTAGACACCTTGGCAGCTCCATGATGGACACAAGGTGACCTAAGCCAGCGAGAGGTGCTGATAAGAAGGTTGAGGACCCTTGAATAAAATACACTGTGTCTGGGACCTGCTTCAAAACAAGAGTGAGTGTCATAGAGGGAGTCACTTGGAACATAGATGAAAAGACTCTGAGCAAACAGTTGTTAGAGCTAGGGGTGAGCACATGGAAGC